GCCGGAGCAGCAGTGGGCAAGGAGTACAGCAAACCTGGGGCTGAATGGCAGCCGTGGAGTTTTCAGATTAAAAACCAGAGGAACGGGACCCAGATCAAGCTCAGTCAGAGCAGCAGTGGGAGAGCAGAGCAGGTGGAACCTTCACTGATCTCCTGAGGCGGCGTCATAGTTCAACAAGTGACGCAGGCTGAGAGGATTTGCTCCTTAAGAATCAGCTTATGGGACTGAGTGAGTAGTACTACAAGGGAGACAGATTGTAAAGTACTTATTTTTATGGTTTTAATTTGTTAGGAATAGAGTAATAGAGAGACAAAAATCTGATTTGATGAGTAATAGGTAAAATGAGGAATTTGGTCCTAGTTTATTGTTTGTAGTTGGTAAGGTTCACAATGGCGGGAGAACCCGGCTCCGTGAAATACTCCTTTTGCAATATGTGGGAAATCAGATATACTACCAGTGTCCATCGTGACCATGTATGGAGGAAGTGTGTTCAATCAGGGAGCCTTGGCTGACAGATAAGAACAGGAGTGGCAGACATCCTGTCCACTCTGAGACCTGGCTCTGAGGGAGCTGGACCAGTGTCAAGGACTCTTCACTTGTTAAAAAAAAAGAGTGACTCGGTGATGGGATACTGGCTTCTGTGGAGTTATTTCATTGGACGGATAGTGCTGGAGTCCTAGCGATCATTCCCCTCTCAAATTGATATACCGTGTTGGATAATTTTGGAGGGGTTGGTGCCTCAGTGGAATGCAACAACAGCTAAATTCGTGGCACCATGGTTGACTCTGCTGCACAGCAGTGGAGGAAAAGTACAGGGAGAGCTTTGGTGATAGAGACTCGATTGTAAGGCGAACTGTCAGTTGGTTTGGTGGCACCAAACGAGACTCTCAAATGGTATGTTACCTCCCTGGTGCCAGGATCAGGGATGCCTCAGAGCATTCTGAAGGGAGACGGTGAACAGTAAGCAGTTGCAATGCATGTCGGTACCGACAACATGGCTAATAACAGAAATAAGGTCCAATAACAGGAATTTAAACGGTTAGATAGTAGATTAAGAGGAAGACTATGAAGGTTGTGATCTCCAGGCCACTTACAATATCTTGTGCTACTGACTATAGGGATAAGGGGATAGGTCAGATGAACACGTGGCTAAAGGGATGATGTAGAAGGGAGGGCATTAGATTTTAAGATCATTAGAACAGCTTCTGGGGTAGGTGTGATGTTTACAAGCTGGACGTGGGTGGGACAAGGCAAATGGAAGGTCCAGAAAGCTAAAATGTAATTATTCTAATGCAAGGAGCTTGACTGGTAAGGCAGATGAACTTAGTCCATTGATCAGCATTGTTGCAATCACTGAGACATGGTTGAAGGATGGGCAGGATTGGCAGCTCAACATTCCAGGGTATAGAAGGGGATTGGTGGGGATTGAGATAAGAGCAATGGGGACATTGCATTATTGATAAAAGAAACCATCACTGCAGTAATGAGGAAGGATGTCATAAAAGAGTTTCTAAATAAGGCCATCTGGTGAGAGCTTAGAAATAAAAAACAGGTGAATATTTCACTGGGATTATGCTACAGACTTCCTAGCAGTCAGAGGGAGATGAGGGAGCAGATCTGTAAGCAAATCATGGAAAGGTGTAAGAGAAGCAGAATTATAGTTATAGGGGATTTCAACTTTGCTAACATTAGATGAGGTGGAATTTTTAAAGTGCATCCAGGAGACCTTTTTGTGCTAGTACATAGATAATCCTACTAGGGTTAGGAAGTGCTTGACCAAATCCTAGGGAACAGAAACTGGTCAGGTGGTTGAAGGTTCAGTGGACAAACCTTTTGGGCGTAGTGACCACAAATCTGTAAGTTTTAAAGTCATTATAGAAAGTAATAAGGATAGTGCAGAAGTTGTGTCTAAATTGGGGAAAGGTCAGTTTCAGTATCATTAGACAGGATCGGCCAAATGTAAACTTGCAGGTAAGTCTACATTTGGAAAGTGGGAAACTTTTAAAAGTAGTATAGTGAAAATTCAGAACCAGCGTGTTGCTCTAAGAGTGAAGGGCAAGGGCAGAAAGACCAGGGAACCCAGATGTCAAGAGATATCAAGAGTTTGACAAAGAAAAAGAAGGAGGCATATGTCAGGTACAGCACATTCAAAACAGGAGAGATTCTTCAAAATTATCAGAAGTGTAGGGGATTGCTTAAAAATAAATTGGGAGAGTAAAGACAGGCCATGAAATATCTTTGGTAGATAGAATCAAGGAAATTCTCAAGGCTTTGTTATAAGTACATTAAGAGTAAGAGGATTACTAGGGAACGAATGAGACCCATTAGAAACCAAAGCGGCAACCTGTGCATGGAGCCTGAGGATGTAGGTAAGTCCTTTAAATGAATATTTCTCATCTGTATTCACAGAGGAGAAAAATATTGCAGCCGGAATTTCAATTGGGATGGTGAGGTTCCAGAACATGTTAAGATTAAAAGGAAGGAAGTGTTATATGTTTCAGCAGGCAGAAAGGTGTGTTAATCCTTAGGGCCTGATGAGATGTATCCCAGCCTGGGAGGCAAGGGAGGAGATTGCTGGGGCCCTGGCGGAGATATTTAAACTTTGTTGGCCACAAGTGAATTGTTCGATGCCTGGAGGATAGCTAATGTGATTTCTTTGTTCAAGAAGGGCAGCAGGGTCAGGCCAGGTAATTACTGAGATAACAAGGTGTAGAGCTGGATGAACACAAGCAGCATCAGAGGAGCAGGAAGGCTGACGTTTCGGGTCGAGACCCTTCTTTAGAAAAATTACTGACCTGTTAATCTGATGATAGTGGTAGAAAAATTATTGGAAAACATTCTCAAGGTATTAATCATCACTTGGAAAGGCAGGGATTGATCAGGGATATTCAGCATGGATTTGTTGGAGGGAGATCAGTCTGACTAATTTAGTTGAGTTTTTTTGTAAAGGTGACTAAATATGAGGGTAGTGCAGTTAAGGTGGTTTAGTAAGACCTTTGACAAGGTTCCACATAGAAGGCTGGTGAAAAAGGTAAGAGCCCATGGGATCCAAGGCAAGTTGGCAAACTGGATCTAAAATTGGCTTGCAAACAGGAAGCAAAGGGTGAATGTGGAGCGATGTTCTTGTGATTGGAAACCTGTGACCAGCAGTGTGCCACAGGGATCGGTGCTGGTACCTTTCTGTTTTGTTACGTATATTAACAACTTAGATGTGAATGTAGAAGGTATAATTAGTAAGTTTGCAGATGACACAAAAATTGGTGATGATGTTGATAGTGAGGAGGATGGTCTCAGGTTGCAGTCTGATGTTGATCAACTGGTAAATTGGGCATTGCAATGACAGATGGAATTTAATCTTGTTACATGCTAGATGATGCATTTTGGGAGGTCCAGTAAGGGAAGGATATACACAATGAATGGAAGTTCTCTAGGGAGTACTGGGGAACAAAGTGACCTTGGTATAAAAGTCCATAGATCCCTGAAGATTTCAGTACAGGTAGATAGTGTGGTGAAGAAAGAATATGAGATGCTTTCCTTCATTAGCCAGGATATAGAATACAGGATCAAGGAAGTCTTGTAACAACTTCATAAAATATTAGTTAGGTCACAGATAGAATATTGTGTATAGTTCTGATCACCAACTATCAGAAGGACATGCTTACACTGGAGAGGTGCAGAGGAAATTCACCAGGATGTTGCCTGGGATGAAAATTCTCAATTATGAGAAGAGACTGGATACATTGGATTTGTTTTCCTTGGAGCAGAGAAGGCTGAGGAGGGATCTAATTGAGGTATATAAAATTATGAGAAACATAGAGTAGATTGTGAGAATCTTTTCCCCATGGCAGATATGTCTAAGACCATAGGCCATAAGTTTAAGGTGAGGAGTAAGTGGTTGAGAGGAGGTCTGAGAAAAAACAAGTTTTCACCCAGAGGGTGGTAGAAATGTGGAACGTGCTGCCTGAGAGTGTGTTGGATGCAGGTACTCTTGCAACATTTAAGAAGCATCTGCTTGGGCACTTGAAATGCCAGGGCATAGTAGGCTATGGACCAAGTGCAAGTACGTAGGACTAGCATAATTTGGTGTTTATTGGTCAACATAGACATGGTGGGCTGAAAGGCTTGTTTCTATGCTGTATGACTCTACTCATGTTCTGTACTACCAAATGACTGTTTCCCTTCTTTACATCATTGAGTTATGATGGTAGTTAGTTTAATATGAGATTCTTAGTCTAATAACATGCAGAGAAAGGTGAACCCACCTAGTTGAAATTGCATTTGTAGTAAAATAATTATTAATTCCTAAGTGCTTCACTAGGACACTTTTGCATGTAGTACCTTTTTGGGCTTTGGCTATATTTTTTCCACCATAATACTGGCATGCTTATGCAAATACATCTCTAAATGATACAATAAACCATCTGTTGCTTTAAATTTACTGCGCATGGCTCTGCAGAAAATAAATGTAACTGCCGACAAGACAACATTTTAAGCTCCATTTTAATTGAGTAGCCACTTCTTTAATTGTAAGACTTTCGATTCCCTTAATGAATGTCCTAATGATGGTATAACACAAGCATTTAGATTGGAAGGCGGGATTTATATAGAATTCTATTCATTGTTTCAGACTGAGATAGAGAATAAACCCAAAATATTTCCTTTGCTTTTCACCAAATGTTGTGGTCCAGCTCTTGAAACATAGATTATAATACTACTAAAGTTGAGGCTTTGATCTCATAACTTGACATCTGGTTACAAATGGATATTGTTCGTGTTTATGGCTGTGTTTCATAGATATAGAAGTCTAACTTAATGTATGAAAGTGATTTTGCTATTAAGAGTGCTGCAGTGTTACTTTTTATTATGGCATTTTAAGTTTGTTTTGTGTAGGCTTTCAAACCTGGCACTGATGATTTGTATTTGAAAACTTTTACATTCAGTGTGGTGTCGCATGAACAAATGCAAGTTCTGACCATATTTTACACTGATTCTTTTCATAGGCTGGTGCTTCACAAGTTATCTTCACTAATCCATTGGAGATTGTCAAAATCAGGTTACAGGTGGCAGGCGAAATCACCACAGGACCTCGTGTCAATGCATTCAGTGTCATAAAGAAATTGGGTTTCGCTGGGCTATATAAGGTACAGTGTGAGAATGATCTGCTAACAGCTACTTTTTTATCTCCTCCCTCACCATCCAAGATGCCAATCACTCCGTCTGGGTGAAATAGCAATTTATATATACATCTTTCAATTTAGAATACTGCATTAGCTGCTTATTATTCAGTCTGTGCTATATTGTTGAGAGTTATGATTCCAGCTGGTGGTATTTCATGACAAGCCAGATCCCAGAATGAAATCTGGTTTAATAGATTTTTTTTTGTTTTAGATAACATGGTGGTTAGCTACTGAAACATAACCATATGAAATAGCAGAGTTTCTTTCACAACAGAAAAGAAGTTTATTACACAAAAGATTGGAAAGTGAAACAAACCAAGTTATCTAAATACAGAATAGTTTGAATTTCTTAAAACACATTGCAAAAAAGTCTCCTCCTCTTTCCTGACCCTACCTGTTAGAGAGACTCAGATCCAAAGGAATTATCCGCTATATCAAAGCTTTAAGTTCAACTTGACTGATTCTCCCCAGTTCTTTGCTGAGAAATGTGAAGCTTTCTCACATGAATACTCTCAAAACAGACCGCTTAGACCTTCTCAGCTTCTAATAACCTCTGTATTTCTAACCAAACCCTCCTGGTCTGGAAGTAGCAGAAAGTAAACTTTTCTACTGTGGTGACTGTACTTTACCTAGACTCCTTTTTAGGAGATAAACAATATTTGCTTCTGACCCCAGTCAGGTCTCCTCTGAACTGCTCTAAAATGTTTATTTGCTGAATATTCTTTTAAAGAAATCCTTGATTATGCTGAACCAAAAATAAACTAATGGCCTTCAGTGTTTAATCCACGTGTTGTAGACCCCTACAGTAAAAACAATCTTCCATTAGCTTTCCAGGCGTTCCTAATTTTTGACTAAGTCAGTTTTCTGGAAGGACCGTCTCACCTAATTTGTTTGGAAATCCTTCCAAAACTAACGACCACTATATGCCACTTTTAAAATCCAATGGCAGTGAAGGAACAGGAATGTGGTTCCAAGTTAGAATGTTGTACGGCTTGGAGGGGAGCTTAGAGGTGGTGGTGTTCTCATGCATCTGCTGTCTTTGTCCTTCAGATGGTAGAGGTTGATGGTTTGAAAAGTGCTATCTAAGGAAAGTTGGTGAGTTACAAATCAGATGGTACATACCGCAGGCATTGTGTGATGCGACTGAAGCACATGAATGTGGAAAGTGGGGTGCCAATGAAATGGGGTGCTTTGTGCTGGATTGTCTCAAGCTTTTTGTGTGTTGTTGGAGCTATATCCAACCAGACAATGAAAACTATTCCAATACACACCTGACTTGTTCCTTGGTCATGGTAGGCAGGTTTTTGGGAGTCAGCAGGTTGGTTTCTTGCTGCAGAATTTCAGATCTTCTGTTGTAGCCACAGTAATTATATAGATGGGCCAATTCAGTGCCCAGTCAATGGTAACCCCTGGAATGTCGATAGTGCCATGTTCAGTAAGGATAATGCCATTGAACATCAAGGGCACTGGTTAGTTTGTCTCTTGTTGGAAATTGTCCCTGCATGACAATGCCATGATGCAAATATTACTTGATATTTTTCAGGCTAACCCAGGATATTTTCCAGGTCTTGGAGACGAATGGTTGTTGTCATATCTGAGGAATTGTGCAAAGTGTTGAATGTTGTGCATTTATCAGCAAACATGTCCTGTTATGACTTAATGATGGAGGGAAGGTCCATGATGAAATGGCTAAAGATATTTGAGCCTAGAACACTACCTGTAGGAAATAAAAACCAAAAGAACTGCAGAAGCTGTAAATCAGGAACAAAAACAGAACTTGCTGGAAAAGCTCAGCAGGCCTGGCAGCATCTATGAAGAAAAATCAGAGTTAATGCTTTGGGTCCGGTAACCCTTCCTCAGAACTAGGTCAAAAGTGTGCATGTGATGCAGCATGGCACTGAGTGAGGATCTCAGGATGCAGCGAAAGCAGCCATCAATGGAGTATTGAACATCATGGAGATACCTGTGATCCTGGGTGGATTCAAAGCATGAGGGATGAAACTTCAGTTGAAATCTACGTGGGGTGAGTCTGAACTGGAAGCAGTTACTGAGGAATGTGATATGGCTGTGGAAACGAGTTTTAGCAAATACCTAGTCAAACACCAGGATTGACAGTGAAATTAATGTCGGTGGACAAGAAGAAAGATTGGAATGGAAATCCCATCAGAGAGAGGAGCAGAACTTCTTCAAGGTGGGCATGCCTAGAAGAGATATGGCAGTGAGTTAAATAAAAGCCAAAAGAACTGCGGATGCTGTAAATCAGGAACAAAAACAGAAGTGGCTGGAAACGCTGAGCAGTTCTGGCAGCATATGTGAAGAAAAGTCAGAGTTAATGTTTTGGGATCTTATGGTGCATTGGTAGTATTCCTACCTCTGGGTTAGAGGACATGAGTTCAAGTCCCACCTGGTCCAGAGATGCGTCATAGTGTATCTGAATAGATTGATTTAAAAATGTGTTTTGAGTTCAGACCACAGAATAACAATCCCTCAAATCAGTTGCAACAACATTCTTAAAATACTCCTCAGCTAGGAGACCTAGGTTCAAGTGCCACCTGTTCCAGAGATAATGTACTAACATCAGTGAATAGGTTGATTAGAAAGTATCTACTCCTAGGAATTGCTGCATTGATGCCTGGGACTAAGATGATTGACCTCCCAACAACCACAAAATATTTTAATGACTCGAAGCAATAGATAATTTTACCCTTGATTTCCATTGAATCCAATTTTGGCAGATCTCCTTGATGCCATGCTCAGTCAAATGCTACCTTGAATCAAGGGCAGACAATCTTACCACACCTCACCTGTGAAGTTTAGCTGTTTTGTCCTTGTTTGGACCATAGCCATAACGTGTTCATAATTTGAATGGCCCTAGCAGGGTCCAAACCGAATAGCAGTGAGCAGGTTAATGCTGAGCAGATGCCGACTAGAAGTCCTGTCAACAACACTTTGCATCACTTTACTGATATCTTGGTTGATGTTTCGGACTACCATTGCTGTCAATGAAAAGTCCAAAAAAAAGTGCAGAGATAAGAAGAAACTGTGTTAGGTGTTTCTTGTGTTGTTGTTGGTGTAAGAAATTATAGGATTTATACTGCATGACTGACTTCAGAAACTCTAATTTTTACAATGGGGTGCCTATCAGATGAACATTTTGATGGACAGGTTGAACTGTTTATAGAATGAGAATGTTTATGTCAGGGATTGAGAACCTAAGTGAAATAATTGTTTCAATAAGAGATTACTTAAGGTAGTTTCAAAGTATTGAACTGTTTTTTTTTCGTGACTGAGGCTTTTTTTTTCTCCAATAGCGACACCAATAGTATGCAAACAAACTTTATTTTTTGTCAGTGAGATATGTCCATGCTGGGTGATTGGTGAGTATCCACGGAGAGGGAAGGTAAAGGATATGAAATGGGATCTATGTGTCAGCGTGATTTTAATAGAAGCTTTAAAAGCCTATAGGGATGCTTGGGAAATTGTGGGTATGAGTAGCAGGGGCATAGTGAGTCATGAGCATTGTCAGGGGCCATAGGGCATGGGCATGGGTAGGTGTTGGTAACATGGCACAGTGTGTATGATAAGTCATAAAGAATGGGTAGAAGATTATAAGTTGGCATGGGGATGTGAGAGGCACTTCGTCTGGGTACAGAGGTATATGTTAGCATAGTGCGTATGAAGGACCAGGTGATATCGGGACAGGGGTATAGGTTAGCAAGGAGGGTGTGGGGGCCATGTAAGTGGGTACAGGGCATTAGTTGGCATTCATTGGCATGGTTTGGGATGCTGCTTTGGAATCACAGTGTAAATGAGGCAAATGCAGAGCACTTTGTTGCTTCATCACACTGTGGGATGCTTTCCCAATTAGCATGTATTGTGGACCTTTTTATTTTGCCCCTCTAAATTTCAGGTCCAGTGAGAAATAAAATAACATTCTCAATTGGATGACAATTCTAATTGTCATCTACTCTAAACACTCTAATTCAGTGGTGGGAGTGGTGAGAGTGTGAGCCAGGGGGCAGCTGGGTAAGTGAACTAATATGTTTGGGCAGTGGCTAAACCCAAAACACTACACATGTAGTGTCTCCCATCCTCCTCCTCTAACCAAAAATAAAGACTCTGTGTGGAGGGTTGGTAAGATAAGCTTTATTCTCCTTTCTCTTTATATCTTTTGGAAATCTAGAGTAGAGGGGATAGAAACTCGGACAGTTCCGTGCTCCTCTTGTAGAATGTGGGAGGTAAGGGTCACCACTAGTGTCCCTTCTGACTTCACCTGCGAGAAGTGCACACAACTCCAGCTCCTCACAGACCATGTTAGGGAACTGGAACTGGAGCTGGATGAACTTTGGATCATTTGGGAGACAGAGGGGGTGATAGAGGAGTTATAGGGGGGTTGTCACACCGAAGTTACAGGATAAAAGTTGGTGAGTGACAGTCAGGAGAGGGAAAGGGAGTAGGCAGACAGTGCAGGGATCCCCTGTGGCCTTTCCCCTCAATAATAATACTACCGGTGCCACGGTGCCTAGGAATAGAGAGCGAGTGCAGCTGAACAGATGGCTACAGAGCTGGTGTAGAAGGGAGGGCTTCAAATATGTAGATCATTGAGATATCTTCTGTGGAAGGTGGGACCTGTACAAGAAGGACGGGTTGCACCTGAACTGGAGGGGCACTAATATCCTGGGCAGGAAGTTTGGTAGAGCTCTTCAGGAGGGTTTGAACTAGTTTGGCAGGGGGATGGGAACCGGAGCTATGGATCAGAGGATGGGGTAGCTGGTGTACAGGCAGATACAGCATGCGGACAGTCTGTGAGGAAGGATAGACAGTTGACAGGGCAAAGTTGCAGTCAATGCAATGGGTTGAAGTGTGTCTATTTTAACGCAACAAGTGTCAGGAATAAGGGTGATGAACTTAGAGCATGGATCAGTACTTGGAGCTATGATGTTGTGACCATTACGGAGACTTGG